TTCGCTCTCCCGAGATAAAGGGAGAGCCTTTGGGACTCTACTCCTATCCAGGAGTACTCACCTCGACCCCTTCTCCCGGGGCACAAGGTTCCAAGCCGCTGAACAGCTGCTGACCGCTGTTCATGCTGGCTCTGACGCCTTCCCAAGCGGACGGCTCCGAAAAGAGCCGCCATCGGCGCGCCGTCCCACCGGAAGTCCTTCAAAGATCCCTCTTGACATAAACAACTTAGTTTTGCAATAGCATAATCATGCTTGTTAATATGCCTGTGACCTTTAGTTATTTTACAGTTTCATCTTTAATACTTTCCCCAGTATGGCAGCATTTTCAGGAGGCATCAGAAAGTCATGCACATAAACTTGTTCATGTGACACCTTGTGTAGTAACGTTGCAAAGATTCATGATATTAAATGTAGTCTAAAGAACTGTACCTTGATTTTCTCCCTCAGGTGTTTTGATCCTTGTAATTTGAGGCATTTTAGCTGCTGTGGTTTGTGGTAGAAATACTCCTATACACAAAAGTTTCCAAGGTACCTAGACAAGTCTATGCAGCAACCCGCCTAGTCTGGTGCCTTCAGATGTCAGCCTCCATCTTTGCATGCTTGCTCTCATCTGCCATAGCAAAGGGGGAAGGGGGAGCAACAGCCATCTCTCTGAGGTCATTTTATCTGGCTTCCAAATGCACAGAACACAGAGATTTTCCCAAACATCTGGCCAATGACTGAACTTTGGTTGCCTAGCTACAAGGGGGGATGGCCTTTAGAGTTTGTTTCAATTTGAAGCTTTGTGTGCTTTTACTCCAGATCTTGTCTGACTCTGCTGTGTTCACTTCTTTCCTTTTCTCTAAGTACCTTTTCTCTAATTCTATGGAGCCAAGGTTTTTCTTTCCTAGGAATTGGATGGAGGCAGCCCTGATACCAGATTTCCTTTATTTGCAACCAACATAGTCAAAATGCACTAAAACATGTTGCCTGAAGTAACAAAAAGGCTCTATTCCAAAAATGGATTGGCTTAAGAGCTGAATGCTATGCCTTGGGAATAGGCTAATTTCCTAATCACATCTGACTATGGAAGGCTAGCTCTGGGGAAGAACATAAAGAGTAATACAATGGAAGAAGTGGATTGGGGGGTGCAGGAGATGGGGATGCTATCTTCCCCCCCCCCCCATAAAAACATCTGAGGTGTCTGCCTAATAACAAGTTGGGGTTGACTTAGCACGTGTTTGAAAGCTGCTCCTGAGGATTGCTATATCAAATTAGCAATCTACTTGTCAGAAAATGTCTACACCATATAGAGTTATAACTCTATTGTTCATAGTGGCATGCTGAGGTGAACAAAAGCAATAATAGTTAAAAATGAATTGAGCTTAACTCTTAGTGACTATATTGGAATATCCACATAGTTTCCAAGTAATACTATGGAACTGGTCTGACACAGTCTTCTATAATACTTTGTTCAGATTCCCAATCTAGTTTATAGATCAGGATTTTTTTCTGGTGGTCTGTCATCCAAATATTAAGCAGTCCTGACCCTGCTTAATGGTCATTTGTGAAAGGTGCTAAGACTTAAAAAAAGAAAGAATGGATTTTGTATATCGTGTTTCCTTGAAAATAAGACCTGGTCTTATATTTTTTTTGTCTCCAAAGGCACTAGGTCTTATTTTCGGGGGTGTCTTATTCTGCAGGCAGAGGCTGTGAGTTCGCGGTGTGGTTCAGCCTGCTAAACCTCACTTGGACAGAACTTCAGCACCCAGCATACACCAGGTTGAAGAGGAGCCCTCCTATAAGTCAATGACCAAACCAGATGGGGCCTTCCAATAAGCCAAAAACCAATAGGCAGTGCTC